TGCCATGTACACATGCCATGAGTATCTTTTTATGGAAACTGGATCAAATGTGTATTGTCTAGTAAACTGTACTGGGGTCAGCAGATGGCATAATGGTTACGTTGATGTACTCCCATGTAGTTGACCATGGTTCAAGTCCTGGACCCGGTGGCTTAAACTCACTCTAGGTATATGTGCATGCATGCCCAACATCCCAAGAGAAGAATGGAGGAGAAGGGAATGCGGCATGGTCATCCCCCCGGGGGATGATTTCTTGCTTTCTGTCTCTCTCTGTCTTTCTGGTGAGCATACGCGCCCTATGGTGAAAACCTCTCAAAAAAAAAGGCAACTATATTTTTCCTATTTGAAGTAATAGTTGGAATATGTGTCTAAGTCAATTAATACAACTCTTCAATGTCATTTTAAAATGTTATGACAGAGGCCAGCAGGTGGCATGGTGGTTAAAGGCATTAGATTCACACATGGCCAACAGCAGTTCAAGTCCCAGACCTGGTGTCTTGCTTTCTCACTTTCCCCTTCTCTCTCTGTCTCTCTCTGGTCAAATTTTAAAAATAGTAATAATAACAAATAGAATAAATGAGTAAACATTTGTTTAAAAAGTTACGACATCCACCATATAAAGGTGCTACAATTTAATCCAACAATTCAATATTCCACATTTAAGAATTTCCATTGTTTGGCCAGGCTGAACATTCTTCTGCCTGGATCCTTTGGTATGGACATTCTAAAATGTTCCCTTAGGATAAATTTTAAGTCAAAGTGCTAGGTTGGTCTCAATTTTTAAAAGTTTTTCCTTTGTGGTTGATATATAACCCTATAGTTTTATATGTTTGCAAATAGTTACAATGTCAGTAAAAAGTGTGACTCAAACTGTATAGTCGGCTACGTGGGATTCAGATTTTCTGAATTATAAAACATAGAATCTTGTATTTTAAGTGAAAATTGATTGTACATTATTGAATTGTCATATGTACATTTAAAAACTAGAAGGAAGAAGTGTTTCCTACTTATACCCCCCTACTAAGTACAGCTAAAAACACTGAACATTACATACAAAACAAATATAAAAAGACTGAGAAAGAGAGAGAAGGTAGACCAGCTAGGGATCTCAGGACTGTCTTTTGGCTTCTTATATCCTAAATTAGATGCTGGAAAATCCTGAGCCAAGAAACACCAATACGTACCCATACACAAATACACAAGAACAACTAGTTCTCTCAAGCTACAGGACCAAGAAAGGGTCAGCCTGATAAGACACAAAACTGTAGACAATAGCTAGTCTACCTTGGGAAAAACCATGGGGAAAAATAGTTAGAAGAAACAAAACAATTTTTGTTTAATTTTTGAGAAACTTTTGCTATAGGGTACGTGTGCTCACTAGAGAGACAGAAAGAGAGAGACAGAGAGAGAGAGAGATAGAAAGCAAGAAATCACCCCCCTAAAAGGAGACGGTCACGCATGAATCCCTTCTCCTCCATTCTCCTCTCAGGATTTTGTGTACACATGCACATGCACCCAGTGTGAGTTTTAAGTCACCAGGTCCAGGACTTGAACCACATCAACTACGTGGGAGTCCAGTGGCATAACTATTATGCCATCTGCTGGTTCCAAAAATATTTTTAAAACTTTTTACCCCACGTTCATCAACAAAAGGCAAGGAGGGCCCTAGACTTCCAATATCATGTGCCCGTAAGAAGGCACCCCAACCCTGTCCCATGCCACAGTGGTGTCAAAAAAGGAGAGAGAGCTGGAACTTTCACCCCAAACCAGCAATAGCAAGGTCTCCCACTCCCCCACACCCCTCACACCCGCAGCCACTGGGCCTGTGGAGACTTGAGGAACCTGGATTTCCACCGATATATCGCAGGAACAGCTTCTGTCCCTTCCCTGCCATGACAGTATTAGAGAAAGCAGAGTAGGAAGCCTGCACCTTCACCTCGGTCAACCTGCCATAGAAGACCCGAGACAGAGTAAGTAAAGCACAGAGTTTATTCGGGCCCAGACACACAACATCCAGGCTGCCCCGGATGAACGTTACAAGGTTTCACAGATTTAAGGAAGAGTCATGAATGGGGAGAGAAAAGGAAAGTGTTCAATAGCTCAACAGCTGGATGGGCTTGGGGAACCCGCGAGAGCGATTGCGAGATTGTGTGATGTCCTTCTTCAAGCTTTCCTCCTGCAATACGGGCTCAGTTAAGCAAACTTTGGAGAGAGGGTTAAAAGGGAGTGTTTTCTCCTTTGGTGGGTCCATGCTATAGGCTGACAATGGGGGAACATCAGAGCAAAGTCCTTTCTTGTGCTTCGGTGGAGAGAACGGATCAACGAGGCTCAGAAACAGGCCCAGGTGAGCATTCCCAGGTCACCGTCCTCACGCATTTTCCTTCAGCTGCCTTGACCCTATTTCAAACGGGGCTCTTCACTCTTCTTTTATACTACCTTTCACCAGTAATGAGGTACCGCTCCCCAACCGGCCAGAGTCAGTGAAGTTAGTACTGGGGAACCCTTCCAGCAACCGGCCAGGGTGTCCTCAGAGGCAGCCTAGTGGGAAGCTTGAAATCTCGCTCTCACCCAGTTATAATAAGGGATTCTTCTACTCCCCGGGGTGTCAAAAAGTCCACTGGGAAACTGGCTTTCTACCCAGACATGTCAGAAAAAAGGCGGCACACTCCTTCCCACCCACCATGAGTTCACTGTCAGAGGGAGTCCTTGTAAATAAGACTATTTATTAAGTCCAGAGTCTTCTAATACTGTAAAACCCAAAATGTTTCACAGGTATAGAGATTCAGTTTTGCAAATTGAAAAAGTTCGGGAATTTTGTTTCACAACAATGTGAATATACTCAACACTACTGAATTCTACATTTAAAAATTGGTAAAATGTTCAATTTTATGTTTTTTTTCAATTTTATGTATTTTTTTAAGAGAGATTTTTGCTATAGGGTACATGCACTGCCAGAAAGAAGAAAGCAAGAAATCATTCCCCACACCACAATCCCTTCTCTTCTAATTTTCTCGTGGGATTTTGGGCACACATGCACGCACACACACACACACACACACACACACACACAATCCTGGCATGAGTTTTAAGCTGCCAGGTCCAGGACTCCAACCAAGGTTGATTACAAGGGAGTCCAGCGATGTAACCATTACCCCATTTGTTGATCTCATGTTATGCATTTTCTACTAAGTAAAAAATTTTTTAAAAATATCAATACTAATCAAAAGTGAAAGATTAATTATCATGCCATACATTTAACTGTTCATGCATTCATTTCTTTAAGATACATGAAATAGTAGTTATATATTATAAAACAACTAAAAATCATACTAATAAACCATGTTATTTTACTGCCTTTCTGAAATAATACATTTGAAACTTAATCAATCCATGCCTATTCTAAAGGTGAAAGAAAAACCTACTAAAATTCATAGCATCTCTTAGCACAATTTACATAATAAAACTACCCAAGTGCTACTTTTTCTAATACAATGATAATAACATTTAATGATTTGGAAAATCTAATAGCAAAACTAGACATACAGATACAGAAAAAAATACTTTCTCTGAGGAGTTTCTTAGCAGAATATAAATCAAAATAATTAAAGGCAGAAAGTGATTTTCTATTTGGAGTTTCACAGATCAAGTGAGATCTGACAGTTATATATAACTAACAATGTAAATCTGATAGTTATTCATAAGTTATTGAAATTTTAATTTGTATTATAAAAACTGGAATTTAACATATTGCATTTAGTGCAGAAGAATCATGATAAACAAAGTATTTAAGTGGTTCCATTTTGCTTCTGAGAAGTAAAACCTTTACTATTGTTTTGAAGAACTCTGATTTGAAAAGTGTATCCATCCCCCGGAGGAAAAATAGGATGATTGGTTTAAAGAAAGCTGTCTACTACAGTTTAAAGAATATGTTTAAAGAATGCTGCAAACTACATTTCCCTCATGAAGAGTCACAACACACACATTCACATTTAAAACTGAGAGAAGTACATGGGACCAGCAGTTAGCGTAATGGCTAAGTCGCTGGGCTCCCCTGTAGTAGACCGTTGTTTGAGTCCCGGACCCGGTGGCTTAAAACTCATGCCAGACACATGTGCGTGTGTGCCCAAGATCCCGAGAGGAGAATGGAGAAGAAGGGATTGCGGGGTGGCCATCACCCCCCTTTCTTGCTTTCTGTTTGTCTGTCTCTGTCTGTCTGGCGAGCGGACACGCCCTATAGCAAAAACCGCTCAAAAAAAAAAAAAAAAACTGAGAGAAGCACAATTGAAAGTATCTCTAACTTTGACTCATTGTTTTCCACACACACACATATATAAGGTCCGCGGCAGGGAGTGGAGGTCCGGGTCTCCAACAAGCTGCTCAGGGGTGCTGCAGTCCAGAGGTCACCCTTCTGTAAGGGGCTAGGGAGGCACTCTGGAAAAGATGACTATAGAGCAGAGCTTACAGCTCTCTGGTCTGTGAAATAATTCTGATATTTACATACTCCACTGGGTCTAAAATCAAGGGATATTAAAGGACTAAACGGGGACTAAGTTAATAACAAGAAAGGGGACTGTGAAGGTGACTTGGTTGGCAGAGTGTTAGACAAGGAAAGAATGAAAATGAGTCAGAGTAAGCAGAGAATGCAAAGGGGATTCTCCGTAAGGCAGGTAAAGGATAGCCAGACAGAAAGAGGTGGGGCCTGAGGTTAATAAGGCAAGAGAAATTCGAGCATGTAGGAAAAACTCAGAAATTTTCTAATTTTTCCTTACTAAAATGGAACAAGCAGACAGAAGCCATTTACTGGATTCCTATTTTAGTCATTCAAAGACTCTTAGAACGTCTTCAGATGAATGCTCTACGGTATAGGGGTTGGGCAAAATTCAAAAAAGCCCCTTGGGATGGAAATCAATCCCACAAAGATGATATTACATCTTGAAACATTAAAACTGCAGGAGGAAACCATTTCTAAAGTGCAGTAACAGGTGAAATCGAAGTCAAACCTTTTCTTGGATGAGCCTTTGAAGATGGATCCCACAGGACAACATGGCAGTGAACAAGGTCAACATGTACTGCTGTACTCTGCAGATGGCCGAGGCCAGGGAGGTTATGACGGAGTTCAGGCCCACCTTCTCAATAACATTCTGGAAGGCAGTCGGAGAATGACGGGTGATCCTGCACAAGGCCTGCAGAGACAGGACAACGGATGTCAGACGACTCCAAGTGCATTAGCCGTTCCTCTGAAAGACGACCCAAGCTTCGGTGGAAAGGCATAGGAGGTGCTCACCTTGCTCCTTTAGTACGTATTTTGGCACAAGTTGGAAATTTCCCACAAACATAAAAACAAAACAATAATTGGAGACCAGCAGTTAGCGTAATGGCTATGTCACCAGACTCCCATGTAGTTGACCAAGGTTCGAGTCCCAGACCCAGTGGATCAAAAACTCACGCCGGGCACATGCGCGTGAGTGCCCAAGATCCTGACAGGAGAATGGAGGAGAAGGGATTGCGGCGTGGCCATCCCCCTGGGGTGTGATTTCTTGCTTTCTGTCTTTCTGTCTCTCTGTCTGTCTGGCAAGCACACATGACCTATTCAAAAATTTCTCAAAAAAAAAAATAATAATAATATAGATGCCAGTAAAAGCTGAAGTTGTTTTAAAACACTAGAGACTATTATAATCATTAAATTTACAAGTTAATTCAAAATCTATATAGAAAATGTTCCCGTTAAGTAATTAAACGTATTAATAAATACCTTCTTTGTACAGACACTAAAGTAAGTGTTTAAAAATTATTATAATAGGGTGGGGTCAGCAGATGGCATGGTCGCTAAGGGTGCTAGACTTCCACATGGCCGACTGTGGTTCAAGTCCCAGACCTGGCGGCTTTCTTTCTCTCTCTCTCTCTCTCTCTCTCTCTCTTCTCCCCCATCTCTGGTCAAATTAAAATAAGCAAAGATAAATAAAATAATTTTTAAAAATTATAATAGGTAATATTTAGTGCTTACTGTGTGATGAATACTATCTGAGAATATCTGAAGAGGATCTAATTTTATTCTTCGGACAATGAATAAGAAAAGTAGTGGCAATGTCCTCATTGTATAGATTATAAAACTAAAGCACAGAATATTGAAGTAACTTGCCCAAAGGCATATAGCTAACAAGTAGTTAGAGTGGTTTTTCTGTAAGTTTGTTTCTTCCATGAGAGGGCGTGAGAGGGAACCCCATCGGGGCCTTGATGCCAGTACCCACCCCCAGCGTCAGCCAGCCCCAGGTCATGGGCACACAATCAGGGAGGTCTCCAGACACAAACCTGGAACCTTCCCTGACCGGTTAGCCTCACACAGCACTGCGTTTTACCTCTGCACTGCCATCCAGCGCCAATCCTTGGCAGTGTTCAAACAAAACACAGAGATGGCCATATTCCATGTGCATGTGGGAGACCCCAAAGAGAGAAATAAACTTAAGCCAAAAATAGTTTTGTAAAACATTAATTAAGCCAGTCAGTGGCACAGAGGTCAAAGTGGCTAGATTCCACATGGTCGACTGCATGTTTCAAGTCCCAGACTTGGTGGCTTGAGAAACACACCAGGTGTATGTCCAAAATCCCTCAAGGAGGGAAGTAAAGATGAGAAGGACTTGTGGCATGACCGCCCACCCTACACTGTGACCATCCCCATGGTGGGGAGGGGTGCATTCTCCCTTTCTCTCTCTCTCTTTCTCTCTCTCTCTCAACTAAGTATGCACACCTTCTGGCAAATTAAAAACATTAACTTTAGGGAGCCAGCAGATGGCATAACGGCTACATCTCTGGACTCCCATGTAGTCAACCGCAGTTCAAATCCTGGACTCGGCGGCTTAAAATACACTGGGCCATCTCCCCTGGCAGGGTCGGGGTGAGTTCTCGCTTTCTGTCTATCTTGTCTCTCCACCAAGCACATGTGCCCTATAGCAAAAAATCTCTTTTAAAAAAATCATTATAATTGTCATAGAATTTATTATTAATTTAATATAATAATAAATTTAATATAATAATATAATAAATTATTAATTTATATTTTAAACAGATTTATAACCTTAATTAATAATGAAAAGACCAAATATAAGACAACTTGTTAGATACATGATGTCAAGAAAAGGAAAGGAAAAGAAAGAAGGAAAAAGATACAAAAGGTTTTCAAAAATATTTTCATTTTCTCAAAAGTCTTAAGGATAAAAAATTAACCTTTTATCTATTTTCAAGAATGAATTTCCTGTAGAAGTTATTTCTATCAATAAAATAAGGAAAATAAGTGTAGATTGGTATAAAACTCAATCTTCCTCCAAAATTAAACACTTAAAAGAAATGTTTTTACTTAATCCTAAACCATTTTTGGCAATCTTTAAAGAAAATGTTAATCTGATGGTAAAAAAAAGGTAAATATAGCTACTATCAATGAAAATCTACAAGAACCATCTCCAGTTGCTGTCTCTTGAGAGTAGCACTGAGAGGTGGGACGTGGAAAAAGAATCTGAAACCTTCTCTATCTGTGTTGGTCAAAGTTTTTTTTTTTTTTTGGGGGGGGGGTAGAGAGGTATTTTCACTATAGGGCGCGTGCACTCACCAGACAGAGAGAGACATAGAGACAGAAAGCGAGAAATCACCCCCCAGGCGGGATGGTCACACTGCAATCCCTTCTCCTCCATTCTCCTCTCGGGATCTTGGGCATGCACGCACACGTACCCGGCGTGAGTTTTAAGCCACCGGGTCCGGGATGCGAACCGCGGTCGACTACGTGGGAGTCCAGCAACATAGCCATTACACTAACTGCTGGTTCCCGTGTGTTGATCAAAGTTTTGAAATAAACTCATAGTATTATTGTAATACTTTTTAAAGATAAATTCCAATGTAATGGCTATATTCCATTTTTTAAAATGCTTTTGTTATCAGGTGCATGCACTCACTGGACAGAGAAAGGGACTGACAGAGGGAGAGAAAGTGAGAAATCGCACCCCAGGGGGAATGGCTACACTGCAATCTCTTCTCTTCAATTCTCCTGGGATTTGGGGGAAACAGGCACACACACCTGGCTTGATTTTCAAGCTACCAGGTCCGGGACACAAACCACAATTAGCCATATGAGAATCCAGCACCTTAACTACCACACCACCTGCTAGCCCCCTACATTGAACATTTTTAAGATTATATTGAAATAAATATTTACAGAAAAGTTTGCCGCCGTGATATTGTATGTATTTGCTGCTCTTTCTGAAGTAAATGAGTAAATAAAATGTACCAAAAAATAAGTGTTTGCAAAACACTAACGGTAGACTGCTGCCTAAAATCACTGTCCCTCTTCCTGCAGTATGTGACACATAAAATTCTGTCTTACTAATAACTGACCGCATTTCAAGCATATACCAGTGATTTATATTCATTTAGAGATAGTCACATAAGAATAAAACAACTCCATGCAATAATTGAACTCAGGCCAGCTGGCGGCATAGTAGTTAAAGTGGCTAGATCTCGCATGGCCTCCTGAGTCTGTAGAGTCCCAAACCTAGCAGCTTGATCAACATGCCAGGCATGTGTTCAAGTGTGTCCAAAATCCTGAGAGGAGAATGGAGGAGAAGGGATTGTGATATGGCCATATCTCACAGAGGGTCCTTTGTCACTTTCTCTCCTTCTCACTCTTCTCTCCTCTCCTCTCTTCTCTTCTCTTCTCTTCTCTTCTCTTCTCTCTCTCTCTCTCTCTCTCTCTGTTTTTCTTTCTTTCTCCAGCGAGTACACTCATTCTATAGAAAAAAATAATTAAATAAATAGATAAATAAACAAACAAACTCTTCTTTGAGCATCTTTCAAATCACAGTATCATCACTCCTCTTTCTTCCAAGAGAGTTACAAAGGGGTAGGTTAAACATCTTGATTAAGAAAATATAAAAGTGGGATTCTTCAAATCAAAAATCCAAATTGTGTGAGTTTTGGTAGAAAGGTAGCAGTAATATCTGAAAATAGGAATATGAAAAATCAATTCACTAAAAAATACACTGATTAAAAAAGTTCTGATTAAAAAATCAGGAGAGTTTCATAAACTTACTTGTAATAAATCCAATAAAATTGCTATTTATAAAATCAAAACAGAATGGTTCCATTATTTTCTTAACCCAAGTATCTTTTTAAAAGAATGTATTAAGTGATGTCCCTTAAGATCACACTGTAACGAGAATTTTTCAAGCAAATTAGAATTCTTCCAACAGAACTTCAACACAGCAAAACAGTAAGTCTAATTAGCACTGTAACAATTCCTAGAGGAGCTCACACAGCAAAACTAACCTTCTATTTATATAAAATCCCTACCCAATAATGGGAAGTTTCTTAATAAAGGATTTTTCCACACTATTTCTGAATATCGGGTTGTTGGAAAAGTCCTAATGTGTTTTTACACAGAAGAATATGTCATGATTTTGCTTACGTCCTAACAGTATTCAAAGCAATGAAGGGAGCTAGAAGATCATTTTAGAGCAATAGAGGTTTTATTTTCTGAATTAAAAAAAGATCAAATATCAAATCTGATCTTATGTAATTTTGTTTTAAAATTTTATTTATCAGGACCAGCATTTGGCATGGTGATTGGCTGGGAAGCTGGAGTGCCACATGACCAACCATGGTTCAAGTCCCGGGCCTGGAGGCTTGCTTTCTCTCTCTCTGGTGAACACACATGTCTTAAAGCAAAATTTAAAAGATAATAATAATAAATTAAATAATTCTTTTAAAAATATATTTATTTACCAAAACAGAGTTTGAGACTACATGTTAATACTGGAAAAACAGTTCCAGTTGAAAGTTCACTTTACAATTTACTTCAAAAAGAACATTTAGTATTACTTCCAGATTTCGATTTTCTTAGTCTGTTCTATAACATCCACCTCTACGAAACAGACTAATTGAAAAGTGAAGCCAGCATATCTATCAGAAACATGAAACAAAAGAGAGAGAGAGAGAAGCATGAACAGAATCATCCAGGAAGAAAAAAATTAAGAAGCATTTCTTTTTGGTCTTTCCAATGAGTTTCTGATGTTATATGAAATTACCCCAGGAGCTTTCTCAAACTATACACAGGGGCTCATCTGAACCATGAAAGATCTTAAGATGCATCAGCATATAGAAAGGGGATGGAGATGGAAGAGGAAGTAGTCGATCTTGTTTG